AAACCCCATCCAACTATCTGTTGTGTCCACCGAGGGGACATCGAACCCCTGATTTTAGTGTTGTATGTCCGTAGACATCTGCAATGAAAGATACATTCTGTGAAGATGATTATAACGCCCCCACGGCCGAAAGATGTTTAGTGTGACGGGGATTCGAACCCGCGACCCACAGATTGTGAGTCGAGCGCCCTAACCACCTGGCCCCAGGACTATGATGATAATGGCTACTTTAATGCATTTAAGTATTTCAAACCGGCGTAACGTGATTATAATTAATTACACATTAATTATCATTAATTAATTATCAGAAAACATTAGTATTAGGCCTTTTATATAGAAAGCAATAGTGTGGTTGAAATGCCATTATTATATAAGTATGAATATCTTCATTTTTTTGTAATTTCCAGTCAACTTTATTTTTTCTACTGTATTAATATTATTAAACTTCGTTTGAATTTTATATTAAGTTTTTCAAAACTTAGTTTTGTTCTCCTCGTATTTAAAAGACAAGGCCCAGTGGTTCTGTGAATTGCACCCCGTTACCGCCAAAAAAATAGTGCTCTGCAATTATGGGGCATGGCTGTGTTACGAGTGAGTCCAATAGTTTTACATTTTTCGTGTCCACCTTTTGTTCGTTGAATTTCCCACAAGGTTAATCGAAAGCTATCTGCGCTAGCCGTTCCTAATTTTGAAGTGATAAACTAGTGAGAAGGCAACTAGCTAATTCTTTGGCCACTCTCTACCAACAAATTATAGGAATAACCGTCACATTATAATGCCCTCACGGATAAAAGCTGGAATACGTTCAGTGATGGAATTCGATCGTGTGACCCGCAGATTGTCATCGATGGTTGTTTCAGCATCTTGAGCACCTGATATGGACGCTGGTCTTGTGAGTCCATATTTCTTGTACTGTTTCAAAGATAACACATAACTGATGCATGTGTGTGTATACAACTTAGGCAATAACATTTGGTATATGATGATCACTGCGTTATCCTAGGATGGTCACTCTATGTTACCCTGGGATGGTCACATCTGTTACCCTAGGTTGGTCACTCTTTGTTAATCCTAAGATGGTCAGTCTGTATTACCCTAGAATGGTCACTCTTTGTTAATCCTAAGATGATCACTCTGTGTTACACTAGGATGGTCACTATTTGTTAATCCTAAGATGGTCACTCTGTGTTACCCTAGGATGGTCACTCTGTGTTACCTTAGAATGGTCACTCTTTGTTACCTTAGAATGGTCACTCTTTGTTAATCCTAAGATGGTCACTCTGACCCTAGGATGGTCACTCTTTGTTAATCCTAAGATGGTCACTCTGTGTTACCCTAGGTTGGTCACTCATTGTTAATCCTAAGATGATCACTCTGTGTTACCCTAGGATGGTCACTCTTTGTTAATCCTAAGATGGTCACTCTGTGTTACCCTAGGATGGTCACTCTTTGTTAATCCTAAAATGGTCACTCTGTGTTACCCTAGGATGGTCACTCTTTGTTAATCCTAAGATGATCACTCTGTGTTACCCTAGGATGGTCACTCTTTGTTAATCCTAGGATGGTCACTCTGTGTTACCCTAGAATGATCACTCTTTGTTAATCCTAAGATGATCACTCTGTGTTACAGTCCCACTGAAGCTATCGATAGTAAAATGGTTTATGCAGTTTGAGACCTTAAATTTTGCTTTAAATAATTCTTTATTATTTACCGAAATTCGGATGGCAGATATTTTGTTTTTCCTATTAAAAAATCCAAACTGTTGTTATGGAACATATTGTGCTGCTACCTAGCCTCTAAAAATGAAACTATTAAGAAATATAGAAATAATATATGTTTAAACAGAGCTCATTGCTAAATAATGTTTTTTCATTATTATTACTTCCCTCCAAAAATATGTGTGGTAAAAGAACAGAACACTACTACTTTCACCCATTAACCTGGTGTGTCTCTTTAGTGATAGTGTCTTTGAGAAAAAATAGTTTAATTACTACTTTCAAAACAAATATAGCACAGAAAACTCAGTTGCATGCCTTTATCATAATATGATGACGAAACTAGACAATAAAACCTATGATGTCAAGTTAACTAGACAATAAAACCTATGACGTCAAGTTAACTAGACAATACAACCTATGACGTCAAGTTAACTAGACACTAAAACCTATCAAGTCAAGTTAAGTAGACAATAAAACAATTTATGTCATCTTTGTCATTTAGTTTTCAATTTCACTACAAAGTAAGCATATTTTTCATGATTCTTGATTACTATTTTAGAAAATTCTTAGATTGTCCAATAATCTGAGAAATAATTTATCTTTTTATGACTAGAATCCATTTTTTAAACCTGCACAAAATCAAACGACACTCAAAAGATAGCTCAACAGAAGTAAAGGAAGTCAAACAAAAATTCAAATCAACATTTCCTGTAAGTAAGAAGAAATAAATGTAGGTGTATTTAAGTATATCTAAACAGCTACAAGAATACTTCTTAAAATGAGTTTTTCTGCGAGTAACAGATGATTAGGTTCATGTTTTAAATGATACGATAATTAGCTCAGTATTTTTAAGGTATGTAACACATTTGGCATAAAAGTTTCCCTTTGATCCAATGTTCAGACTTAAAACATTTAAAATTTGGTTCCCATGAGTGGAAGAGAAATGGTTGCTTCTATTAGTTTCACCGTCATCTGGAAAAGGATCGTCAGACACATGGCAACTGGACTAATTCTACAATTTATGGCACTTGGTGAAAGTTACGGCATCTTTTTTGAAGGTATCTTCTTAATATACAATTACGTGATTTTAATATGTGCCTTCACCCTTTTGGTTCACATCTGTATTCCTTCAACATGACTGAATGTCTTGCCAAAATTACTTCAGCGTAAACCTTATAGACCACTCAATAAGCAATGTGGCAAAACATTTTTAGTTCTATAAGTAAAATGTACCCAATTTATTTACATAATGAAATTTATAACATGTCACCATCCAACTGGTTCTAACAAGTGATGTTGTTGGCTGATACCTAAGGTGTATATAAGATTAGTGTACATTGTTCATTTGATGCCTTTCTCATGGTGAACATTTATAATAAAGCACTTTGAAGTGTGAAAAACATGAATCTTGAAGGTTTAGCAAAAAAACATAGTTTTTATGACAAAACAGCCAGTTACAACTTTAAACAACGTCACATTTAATATTTATTACATCTTATAATGATAATTGTTTGTTTTGAATTTCGCGCAAAGCTACACGAGAGGTATCTGCACTAGCCGTCCCTAATTTAGCAGTGTTAAACCAGAGGGAAGGCAGCTAGTCATCACCACCTCCAACTCTTGGGCTACCCTTTCACAACGAATAGTGGGATTGACCGTCACATTATAATGCCCCCTCAGCTGAAGGGACGAGCATGTTTGGTGTGATGGGGATTCGAACCCGCGACCCGCAGATTGCGAGTCGAGCGCCCTAACCACGCCCTATAATGATAAAAAACATACTGAAGGTTAAAGATGGCATTCACGTAAAAAAGAAGCATTGTAAGAAATGACCTTATTTTCAGAGAAATGAAACAAGTGGGCCCAGACAAGTAAAAGAAAAAGTGGGTACCACACAATTTATAAATATCCCTAAGGTAATTCTATTACAAGAAACAACTTCCACACTAAATATTTTTTTTGCCATCATTTGTAGGCAAAATTTTCATTTTATAAACTCTATTGGTAGAAGATAGTATTAAAAGTGACTAAACTTTAGTACGCAATAATACTCTCAAAGTCTGCATCCTCTGATTGTATTACCTTATAAATTATATTTTGATTCTAATTCTTCATAATTTCAGTTGTAGTTACTTCATGTAATTTAACTAAAAATAATTCAATCCTAAAATTTAGGTAAAGTTTACAGCTTTATCTTGTAATTCATGGTAGTTTAAATATTTCTTTTTACATGACTTCGGTGGTTAGTTCCATACAAAAAACAACATCTAAGACAGTATTGGAATTTGATATTAATATCTCTTTCACAATTTTGGTAATACCAGGTTTAGTTGTAATAATTTTTTATGTTTAGGCACTCACTATTTGTTTGTTTATTACAGTTCAAACCTAAACAATATCTATATAATTTCAGCATAAAGTGGTTTAACATTTTGACTAATGACCATGATCTATAATTTATGCACACTTTCTAATCATCTATGACTTTACAACTATTTCAGGATCTTCAATACATTCAAGAAAACATATTTTTGGTTACTTTATTCTTGGTCTGAAAGTTTTCAGGTGACTCTGTTAACGACTCTCTTGCTTCTCACTGTTTTATATAAGAATGAGTCACGAGTCACTTCTGAGGTTACTAGTTATACTATAGATATTTTAAATGAAATTTGAATTTAAAAAACAGAATGGCCTATTAATATAATGTAAATTTATTACAAGTACGGTTTTTCTTTATTCTAGTATATCTTAAAGTTTTATCTCAAATGTGAAACATTCAGTAGACTGGCAAAAAAAAATTTGTTATAAACCAAATCAACAAATCTCTTATCAATTATTAGTAAAATCATTAAAAAAAAACCACAAAATGATCATCCAATTTTGTTTACATCTACAAAAATTAAGTAACTACTAATGATTTAAAGATTTTAGTTTTAAAAAAATTGAAATTTCTACACTTCTTTTTCGATATTGATCAATAAGTCCTATGAAAAATTAGAATCATTAATTGAAGTTATTGCAAATCTGAATAAAACAATATAATACCATCATGAAAAAGATATATTTACAAGAAAAATCAATAGGTAATATCCATTAAGAATTTACTGGTCTTAGCTTCAGTTGTTGAACAATGAACTTTACAATCCTTCAATTTCCAGTCGCTGACGTACAAGCTGACTAATTTCCAACATAACCTCAGGTTTCATTATATCTTTACACTAAAAGAAAAATTAACATAAAACATTTAAAGTTGCAGTATTTTTTTTTATATGTGCAAACATAAATATGTTATTGTATATCATGACAGTTCTACAGTTATATATACTGTGCTTCAATTGATAATGAAAATATATTCTCAAGTATCAATCATCTTTTCTGTTCAAAATAAAGTTTAAAAAAAGTCTTATATATACCCATACTTTTAAGTATAGTCTTTGCATTAAGTTAATAAAGATTCAATGAAGCATTAAAAAATTTATAAAGCATTTGAGAAAAAACATTACTGTTACTTGTAAAAAATTAATCAAAACATTTTCTAAGCTCTCAGTAGACTTTTCGTAATCCTAAAGAAAGTATTAATATGATGAGATTTTAGTCATAATACATTCCCTAGCACCATAATAAATACATTTTTTAAACAAATTCTTCAAAAAATTTGACAGGAAGTTCTATTTTTACTATTATTTTTTTAACCTAATAATGATAATAATAGCAACATGTATATAAATATACATATAAATTATACAATATATAAATGACTTCAAAATATTTTGAAGTTGTTTTTATTGTTTCACTTTTATTATTCACTTCCTTCAGCAAAATAAATGTTTCTTTGTACGTGTCTGTTTATATATGTATATATATATGTGTGTGTTTAAAAGTATTC